AAGTCTGATTTTTTGTAGTATAATTTCTATACATTAAGTGTACTGCTCAATTGGCTTTGACCAATGTAGAACACCTGCTGGCTAGAAATCCCGGTTGTGGGGCCGGTGCAGTAGCACTGTGGGTTGGGCAGCAGCCCACGCTGGCAGTAGTCAAACTTTACTACATATATGGAAACTGTGACTCAGGTCTCGCTTTAGAATTCCTTTACCAGCATAATCATGCATACATGCAGAACTAGGCACAAAAGAATTCCACGGAACATTGTTTTTAATAACCAGAAAAAAGGAGAAACACCCAAAAATATAGAGCAGTCAGTTGCTGGACCAGCTGCTCCACTTCCGACCCAGCTCCTCGCTAACGTGCCTGGGAAAGTAGTGGATGACGGCACCCACGTGGGAGACTCGGATGGAGTTCCTGGCTCCTGGCTTCAGCTTAACCCAGCCACAATCGTAGCAGCCATTTGGGGCGAGAACCAGCAGATGGAAGATCTCTGTCAATCTACCTTTCAAGTAAATAAACTTTTTTTTCCCCAAAAATCCCTGTTACTGGACACTGTATCAGATTACATTGAACTATCCTGCATTCCCTGAGCAATTAAATCCAGTACAAGAAGCTTCAACGTTGCTGACTTTTCTCTTATGCCCTAATTTGAGGTTCGTCCAGTCTCCCCTGCCACACATGGGACCTCTGCCCCCAGAGAGCGGGGTGTGTGGCATCCACAGTCCTCCCCTGTCCCCAGTTCTCCTGGCAGGAAGCCTGCGTTCAGCACAGCCTTCTCAGGAAGCTTGGGAGGGGCCAGAACCCAGCGGCTGCCAGCAGGTGGCTCACCGGGCCCCTTCTCTCCAGGCCCGAGGGCCAGCTCTGTGCTGCTGTGCCTAGGCTGTGGCCCATGTCCCGGCCCTGCCCACAGCCCTGCCCAGGCCGGGCTCCTCCCATCAACCCCGTCACTCTTCTCCCTCTCTGGCCAGCAGGGAGACCCTCCAGAGGGTCTTCCCCTTGAGATGAGATGCACTCACCGGAGCGTGACACATCTTTAGCGTTTGGCAGGAGTCTGAAATACAGTTTTATCTACCCCTAGCTTCTCTGGAGTCAAACAGGTCCCACGGGGGATTCCCCAGGCAGTGTGTGCGCAGAAGGAAGATGGAGAACAGGAGAGGCCCAGGCCGGGGGTTGGGAAGGTGACCTTCCTAACTGGTGAGCATGGTTTGCCCAGTGGGCTCCCTGCCGCCCCTCTCCTGCCGCCACCTGTCCTCAGCCCAGCCCGGCTCCGGGCTTTCACTGCGGAGTTCCGTGTGCTGTCTTCTGTTGTTACTAACCTTTCCATCTTCCAAAGCAATAAAACTAACAGAATCCTGCTCCCAAACCATCAAGACACACTCAGCCCTTTGCAGGCAAGGTGTGGGATAGCAGAAAGCAAAAGAAACTCAATGGACTTCTTCCCTCTCAACACCAACCGTCAGGGAGGAACTGGTATATAAACTGATATATAGTTGCCACCTTATCCATCGACCCCAGATCCAACCCCCACCAACTCAGAGCAGGAAACTAGGAGTCAGGGAACTGATTAAAACCGAGACCCCTCCATTATACATTCCCAATGGTGCCAGCGATTCAGCACTCTCTCCTTGTCACACCAGGCCGAGGCCATGGAAAGCCAGGAAGGAGAAACCCACAGACGTCCCCTACTCTGAGCCAGGCAGCTCCAGCACTCACAAGCCACCCGATCCCGGGCCCTGGAGTCTTCACTGTCTGGGGACACGTGCCTCGATGCTGGGCTCCTTCTCGTGGCACCCAGGGCATTTGGGACACCAACCCCATGCCACCATCACACCCACACTATCCAATTTTTGCCTAAAGGGGAGCAATGCCTCTGAGGCACCAAATGGACACCAATACTTCTTCTAGCACACTAAAGGCCAATCACGGGCGAGACTCCAGCTCTGACCTCTCCCAAGCTCCCTCGGGCCCACATCCCAAGCCTAGAGGTGACACACTGGGAGACGTGCCATCACCATGACGACAGCACCCGTTTTACCTTACACTCTTCATCCAGCAGGTCCAGGATGCCCAGCTTAGCTTCTATGAGGTCAATGCAGGGTTGGTTATCATAAAAATCGATCAGGGTCCAAGGGATCTGCTCCTTCATGTACTCTTCCTGCTCCAGTTTGAACACATGCTGGGATGAGCAGGAAAAGGCAGAGGTGAGGGGACAGCAGGCCCAGTGGAACGCTCGCCTCTCCTGAGCTGCGAGTCCTGGGTCCTGACGGATGGCAGCTCAGGTGCCAGAAGAGGTTCAGGCGCGGTCACAGCCGTGATGGCAGAGGACCAAAGCTCTGTTAGTTGCATTCCCATTCCTCCACGATCCCTCCCCCGGACGTTCCAGTAGCCACTGGCGCTGCTGCGCCCCAGCCAATCACAGCTGCTGCAAACGGCAAGCGACCTGCAGCTGCTTCAACGCCTTAGCGGCCCAGGCGCAGAGGAGCAGGGGTCAAAACCAAGGGGGAGGGGATCGCCCACCCTTCCCCACGTAGCTGCTCAGATCTTAGACCTCACGAACAGTACAGAGTGCCTTCGCAGCACCACCAGAAAACCAAGGATAGGCTAGCTAACCTCAGGGGAAAGAGAAGCGACCCGAGCCATCCCTCCCAGAAGAGAGCAAGGTCTCCCCCGTCCCAGTCGCCCTGGGGCTGCAAACCCAGCCTACCGAGTTGAACTGTTGCTGGAGCTTCTCATTTGCATAGTTGATACAAAACTGCTCAAAGCTGTTCACCTCAAAGGTCTCAAACCTGCAGGACGGAAAGAGAAGAAGCCGGAGGTGAGAGGCATCTGCTTTTACCGGAGGAGCCACTGGACTTCACCAAGGCCACCCTCACCCTCTACTCCGGCCGGCTCTAGTCCAATCACAGCTGCCAAATCCCCTTCCCTGCCTCCGTGCTCAGAGTCCACGGCAGACGGCCCATCTGGTTAGGAACCTTCCATCGCGTGTCTATCTCTGGAGCTAGGACGAGTGCTGGCAGCAAGGAGGCTCGGGCGGAGCACACACAGGAAAGAGAAAGTCAGCAATGAATCTCGGACGTGTCCATCACCTTCTCGGGTGCTTGCCTCTCCAGGACTTTACGTTTTGGAAAGGAGAGTTATTTGCAGAATCTTACCTCCTATCTTTAACTGTCCATGGCAAACAGGTCCCATCCCCATTGATCTTAACATCGGCCTCACCAACCACTGCCAGGGTCAGGGCTGTGGTCGCAGATGCGTGAACTGCAAAGGGGCCCAGGGGAGGCGACCAGTGGCCCTGAGTTCCAGGAACTCAGCTGCTCCTTTAACAGCCTGGGGTGCCCTCTCCCGGGTCACACAGAGGTGCTCCAGGGGTGGGTGGATGCCCCCTAGACTGGCACCATTTGGCCTATGCCTCATTCAAGGACCTGGTTCTTCCAGGCTTTAAAGTCGCTATTGGTACTGTGACAAATATCAGAAATACATCTTTGAATTCATGCCTTTGTCCTTGGGCTGCTTCCCTAGGAGGAGAATCACCAGGCCAAAGAGCTTCACAAATGGACTCCCAGGAAGGTGGAATTTACCTGGGTGCCATGCCCCCGCCTCCCCACCCGTGAAAGGCTCTGGCTTCCCCGTGACTGGTGCAACGGTTTTGTGGTGATCATCGTTGAGCTTAGAGTTTACACCCTGAGAAAAGCACCACCTTTCGGTGCCCATTCCCGCGCATTCCTGACAATGTCTTCCGGCACGTGGTGCAGATGCAGGCAGGGTATTTTACAGGAAAACTCTTCCATGACCAGGAAAACCCCCGCCCCCAGCCCCCCCACGTGCCACTCAGGCCAGCACCCCCATACCAGCCCTCGCTGGGAGCGTTAGCTAGCATATGACACGGCTCTCTGGCCAGCAGCGTCTATTAGCTTTTAAAGACCTTTGGTTACTTGGGACAAATGTCTTGGTTTGAATTTTAATTCCCTTGATCATTAACAGAGGTCAACAGCTTTCTGTCTGAACGGGTGATCTGTACCTTGTGAACTGCCGGAGAGCCTTGCTACGCTGTTAGGTTTTAATGTTTAAAACAGACTCATCTGAACACTCATGCTTTAGAATGTCAACACTGGCATTCGCTGTTCCCGACCACTGCAGGGGACGGGGTGGGGAGGCAGCAGCCGCGGACAGGAGTGCAGGTGCCAGGGACACTGCCAGGAGTGCATTTTTTTTTAAAATAAATCTTATTTTATTTGACAGAGTTAGTGAAAGAGAGAGAGAAAGATCTTCCTTCCGTTGGTTCACCCCCCAAATGGCCCCTACGGCTGGTGCGCTGCGCCGATCCGAAGCCAGGAGCCAGGCGCTTCCTCCTGGTCTCCTACGCGGGTGCAGGGCCCAAGCACTTGGGCCATCCTCCACTGCACTCCCGGGCCACAGCAGAGCACTGGACTGGAAGAGGGGCAACTGGGTCTAGAACCAGCACCCATATGGGATGCCAGCGCTGCAGGCGGAGGATTAACCAAGTGAGCCATGGCACCAGCCCCAGGAGCGAGTCTTCTAAACCACGCCATGGGGTTTGGGGTGCACCAGGGAGCAACAAGGAGATTCTGAAGGGTTTAAAGTAAGAAATGGCAATTTTCAACTAAGAGACAGGCAGGAGAAAAACTGTGATTTGGGGGAAAGTGTGCGAGAGCACAGGCAGGAAGCCAAGCAAGGTGACGACAGAGTAGGAAGCCCCCCCCCCATCCCCGCCCCAGGACCTGGCTTAGGCTGGGGGTGGCCGAGTGGACAGGTTCTGAAGACACTGAGGGAGATGGGGGCAAGGGGACTGCAAATGACCACTGGGAAATGCAGGCAGGAAACATACAACTGCCGGATGGGGGTGTCGCTCTCTGTCCATCGTAAACACCAGCAGAGTGGAGCCCACCTTGTACACAAAGCACTAAGGGCCGAGGGGCAGACACTGGTGAGCAGTGCCCTTGTCTCACCCACACCACAGGAGGGACTAGACAGCAGTTCTCCTAACGAATGCCTACAGAGCACTAAGGTCCAGGTGCTCTGTGAGTTCTCACCAAATGGCCACACCCACCGAGAGGGACTGTCGGTGACTAACCTCACCCCACAGCTGAACAAATGGAGGTCCAGGGATGAAGTAACCTGTGCGAGGTCAGAGACGCGATGGGAGGGAGAGAGGACAGTGAACCCAGAGGGCCTGATTTCTAGGACCACAGTCTTAACCCAGAGACAACAGTTCCATAAGAAAGATGAAGTGGGGGCCGGCGCTGTGGTGCAGCAGGTTAAGCTCTGCCTGTGGTGCCAGTATCGTGTCCTGGCTGCTCCTCTTCTGATCCAGCACTCTGCTATGCCCTGGGAAAGCAGTACAAGATAGCCCAAGTGCTTGGGCCCCTGTACCACGTGGGAGACCCGGGGGGGGCCCCGGGTTTTGGTTGGGGCCACTTTTGCCCTTTAGGCCCTTTGGGGGGGGAACCCAAAAAAGGGAAAACCCCCCTTTTCTTTTTGCCCCCCCCCCCACCCCCCCCGCTTCTCCCTCCATCTGTATCTCTGCCTCTCAAACAAATAAAATACATCTTAAAAAAAAAAAGAAGAAGAAATGACTCGGGGGCTGTGGACAAGGAGGGTGACTTCCTGGAGGAGGGGGCATCTGAGCACACAGAGCCTGGGGCTGAGCAGCACAGGCTTCGTCCAGCCTTCACCACCTTCATGGCTCTCCTTCCCCATCTTCAACACAGACCTGTGGATTTTATCTGCGTGACATCGGCTGCCATAGTGGCCCTCCCAAGCAGACAGCGCCCCCTGGTGAGGGCTGGAAGTGCTGCAGAGACAGCTCCCTACGCAGGGGGCCACCCAAAAACAGATGCATCAGACACGCAACAGGGCCACACCCACCTCCTCACCCAGGTGTAAGGCATGGGGAAGTGGGGAGATCACCTTGAGATCAAAGGACCCAACTCATGAAAGCACAGCCTTGGGCCATGCCCGCATGGCAGAAATCACTCTAGGCTAATAACACAGGATCAAAGATGCGAAGTCCACGCTGGGGTGCAGGGAGCCAGCCCGGCGAGGGCAGGCACGGCGTGTGCCACCACGCAGTCCCTGGGGGATGGTGGTGCCACAGCCTGAGCGAACTCACTCAGACCCTCACCCCTCCCTCTTCCCACCCCAAGAAAGGTTGCTGACACAGCCAAGCCCAGAGGAAATTTAATTAACAAAACCCAGAAGGAAGATGAAAGAGCTACCCCAGCAAGCGGCCAGATAATAGCAGCGGGCGAAGATTTAAATACATCCTGCTTGTCATACTTTAAAGGTTTATACTGGTAGCACTCCACAAAGAACATTCTCATTAATTTGAGATAGCCTGAAATTAGCTCATAATTTCCCTATTTCTAAGATATCATCTGCTAACAATTCCTGTGCCATCGAGCGTAATTACGGTAGTGCCGCAGGGCCAGGGACGAACGAGGGTCTCGGGTCTAAGACGCCCGACCTCAGAAAGCCAGCTGGGGAGACAGGGCAGCTCTGCTTCGCAAGGGAATTATCTTTGTAGTGATTCTTCCCATCAACAGCGAGGACTTCAGAGAATCAACACAAAGGATCGATTTATAGTTCATCACATAAAAACGTCACCAAGAAATTTATATACCAGGGGGAATCGGATTTCTCGTGTGAAGTCAATGCGTGGGCCATCTGGACCGGAACCCCTGGGTGAGAGGAAGGTCAGAGCATGGGGAAGATGCAGAGCTGAGACCCAGCATCTGCACCTGGGCCCTCAAGGTTCCTTCTCACTCCCTGGCACTGTCAGGACCACAGATGCCTCCAGAATAAAGCAGTGCGCGTCAGAAAGTGAAACTGCAATAAACAGGAGCCTACCACTGACTCTGAGTTAATTATTAACCTCAGCTCTAGGGCCTGGACAGAGACCAGAGAGGCAGGGAGAGGCTTCCAAGGTTGGGAAACAGCACTGGCCTGGGGTGGGGGTGGGGGTGTCAAAGGCCCTGGAATCTCTGAGCAAGGACTGGTCTGTCCAGTTCCCGAAGATACTCTCTAGCAGTCCACCTTCGGTAGAATCAAAGGACACAAGGACACGCGACACAGGTTAGCCAAAAAGGAGAGCTGCTAGGGAGGCTTATTATTAAAAAAAGAGATGAGGAATTCCTAGGGAAGCCTTTGGAAGCACAGTGGTTGTGCACAGGGCTCAGGGAAGGGACACAAACCTCTTTTCAAGGTCTCCTTGCACCCTGAAAAGCCATGAGCTCTCGCAGAGGCATCTCGGGGCCTGTTGGAGAGGACGACCCTCTGATCTTATTAACAGCCATGGGATGCTGGCTGCACCTGCCAGTGGCAGAGCTTAAATTCTGCTCAAGCGCTTTGCCCGGTGCCTAGAAGTCCCATCCTACCCCCAACCCCCACGCTGCTCCAGGCCCCTGGCTTTGGCCTGGCTCAGCCCTGGCCATTGCAGCCATTTAGGCAGTGAACCAGTGGATGTAAGACCTCCCCCCCCCCCCCCCCCCCCCGTAACTCTACATTTCAAATGAATCTAAAAAAAAAAAAAAAAAAAAGCAGCACACAGAAGAATCCAGTTCCCGACAGGCCCCAGGGCCTGCCTCAGAACCACCTTGGAGGCCTGCGCTGAGCCGGGAGGGAGGCTGGGACCCCAAGGCAAGCCCAGCAGCTTCAGGTGACCCTTCAGGTCTGAGAACACAGAGGCCAGTCACACATGCCCAGCCCAGAGACCACATGACCGAGGACCTTCTGGGCTGCTCAGGCCTGGGCTACAGGGTAAGCACAA